CGCAAAGGGCAGTGTTTGTTTAGCTAAACAAATAATAAAAATAATAGGCGTTCATAGCACCCTTCTGATGATGATGTCAGGTAGCTGTGTGACAGTCATATGTGTCAGTCACTATCTATAGCACCTGCTAGGGTAATAATAATAATAATCGTTCAGCTGTAGCACCCTTTCGGTGCCTAGCTGCCATGCCACACCAAGGAGGCACGAGGGCTGGGATACTGCCAGGTCGCCCAAGCCTAGACAGGGAAATCGAGTGGCAGAGGTCGGGTTCGAACCACGGACCTTCCGGCCAGTAAATTCGCGCTCTGCCAGGGTAAACGAACTCATCTACCACCTGTAGGCTTGAGGTTTGGTCTGGTTCCATCCAATCTTGTAGCAGCGCTTTCCTTTTTAACGGATGCGAAGCACCGACCTAACTGTGCAGTAGAATTGTTTAGGTTATTTGAAATTGTTTGCATTTCTAAAGTGTCTGGTCCAAGAGGAGCACTATCGTCGGCGAACTCAATGTCCGTAGGCGAAATTCTCGGAAGTATTTTGATACCTGAGATGTTGGAAACAGGTAAAGAGGTTTAAAGAGGTTGAAGAAGTAAGGCAACAGAGGACATCCCTGCCGGTGAGCAAAGAGCTGACCGGCAAGGGTGCATGCAGATGTCATTTATTGATCATTGGTGTCTCCGCAGCGTTAGTCAGGTCTGGTGGGAAGATCGGATTAGTAATGCTGAGGTACGCCAAATGGTCTTAGGAAGAAGGAACTCTCCTGCGATAGATGAATTACTCACGCCTCACAAGTTGCAGTGGTTGGGACATGTAATCCGCATGCTAGAAGACCGTCTGCCTTACAGAGCTATTTTCTCTCAGCCCTGTGCTGAATGGAAGCGACTGAGAGGTGGACAGTGTATGAGTCTTGTCATGGCAGTCAATTTGACGTCGTTGGTTACTATATTCACCGCGGATGCCTCTTTGAAGACAAGCACACTTATCGCCACACTTCGGTTCTATGGGATGTTTCTTTACTCAAAAGTGGACTTGAGTTAGAAAGGAATTCACTGCCGTCTTTAAACAGAGCGGGTGGAAGATCGTAGTGACGTTTGAGTAAAAACATATATTCGAACACCTATGAGGCTGAAGGGAGCTCCATATTTACAGTTCAATTTTTATCAAAGACCAGTGGTGTGGATGGGAAGTAGCAAGTGGTTGATAGGGTTCTTGTTTGAAGTATTGTTGGTGACGAGGAATAGAGCGCGGCGACAACCAGGGTGACAATGGAAGAGACTTAGGGCTCAGAATCTAGGCTTTATCCATCCAACTCTATTTTCGCGAATCTGTCACTCCCGATAACGATCAGCTTGCACAAAAGAGTACCAGTTAGCGCGTTGGATTCGACGTATATTTGGTGAGTGTCACGCTGGTTTTCGCCTGACGTCCTTGCCCCATTTTTGGGAAGACGGTAGGGGCGCCTCATTCCATTGGTATTCTGTTTTCGTTCCAAATCTTCAACGGAATGTTCGTCAGACTTCACCAGGAACTCGCCGCCTTTTTTGAAGAATGCGTTGAGCAGATAATCCGGACCAGGTGTCTTGTCGCGTTGTGGGAGTGATATCTCACGTCGAATTTTTTGTTTCGTACAACAGACTGGTGTACCGAAGGACGAAGTCAGGTCTTCCAAAAACACCTGCGCCTTTTCGAAAACGAGACCGGTGTCGTGTGAATATTCCAGATCGACAAAATTTTTGTCACAGGCTGTTTGATCTTCGGGGTATTGAAGACCCAGTGTTCGTCTCATTATCTTATCGATCAGGAAATTAAATAGAAAAAAAAGCGCTCAGCTGTAGCACCCTTCCGATGCCCAGCCGCCATGCCACCCGAATTAAGCACGAGGCCTAGTTGCCCAAGCCTAGACAGGGGGAGTCGAGTGGCGGAAGGCGGATTCGAAACACGGACCTTCCGGTCAGTAAATTCGTGCTCTAACCACTTGGGCGATCTCGCCCGAAATTAAATAGGAATGGATAGAACACCCATGACGGACACCGTTTTGTGTATGGAAGCTTTTGGAAAGCTCTCCATGTACTCCCATACGTCCAGAAGTCTGAGAATACAAAGAACTTACTACGTTCACAAGCTTGCGGGCCAAACGTGTCAAGTGGAACAGACTGATCTATCGAGTCGAGTGAAAATCCAGGAATACTAGAATTGTGGGTCGCTTGTACACATGGTGTTGTTCTACCAACCGAAGGAGTGTGAAGATTTGATCAACGCAACTCACACCAGACCGGAATCCCACTTGCTGCTCTCGAGTCAGTGTTTCACGAGCAAGAGTACCTTGTCCTGTTTGCTTCAGAGTTTGGATATTTAATGCAGCTAGATAGATGGTCTCAAGGCTTTAAGAGTGATTTTGCGAAGCCTAAGAATGGCGACGCCGGATGACGCACAGATGTTGCTTGCAAACAGACGAACGTAGTCAACAGTTCTAACTGTTGGACCTACAAGGAGGGAGTTATTAATGGGGTGGAGAGGGGTGGGAGAAAAAGCACGTGAAAGGGAAAAAAGGGAGGCGTCAGCAGTAGCATGTTTTCGGCTACCCTCTCTGTTGAATGCAGAAATTAAGGCAGCGCGGCTAATGTTACCATGTGATGGCTGATGTAGCATGGGTGTGTATGTGTGCAGTTCATGAAAGTACATTGACTGGTATACTGCCGAAGTGCTTAGTATCGTAAGGGGCGAGATGGCCAAGTGGTTAGAGCGCGAATTTACTGACCGGAAGGTTCGTGGTTCGAATCCGCCCTCCGCCACTCGACTTCCCCTGTCTAGGCTTGGGCAACCTGGCAGTATCCCAGCCCTCGTGCTTCCTTCAGGTGGCATGGCAGCTAGGCACCGGAAGGGTGCTACAGCTGAACGCTTTTAGTGTCGTAAACCAAAGCCTGACCGCAAGGCAACGGTGTTTGGCGGCAAATGCAAGTGCACTGCCATATTTAGAGAACAATTCGTCATACATGTTCTATTCCTTAATCTAGAGGACATGGAGACTGTCCGTCAGACCGCTAACCATTGACAAACCTGGTTTAGGAGACTAATTGTCTCGCAAATACCTCACAGTAATAGGTCACTGGGTCGGGGGGGGGGAGTGCGCGAACCGTTACACCGCGGTAATATCCGGTCTCTTCTCAGTCCTGGTGCTAGAGCCTGCAGAGGCAGTACTCACAACGGGGTGTGATAGCAGAGAAGGACTACAGTGTACGAAGGAACACCTCAGGAATGGCCTGTTTTGTTTTTGACGTGTGCATAAACCTAAGTGGTCCGGTCTATGTCACAGCGCGATGCTCGGTGTGGCATGAGGGTACTTCTGATTGTGAAACCGTACGCCGGCTAGAATACTGTCAGGGCAGGCAAGAAGACGATAAGGTCCTCAATAAAAACCTTTGAATAAAAAAAACTGACCACAAGGTAGCTATCGGGTATCGGCATACTACCACAGCAGTATCATTATATAGGTAACAAGTCGCCTTACATGTTTCAATCCCCAAACTGGAGGAACAGGAGTTCGTGTTAGTCAGATCCCTGTCCGTTGACAAACCCTGTATGAAAGCTCTGCGTGTCAAAGTTAGACCCTGAGTATAGTTTATCGGGTCACAAGGGTATACAACTCGCCAAATCAGTTAAGTCTCTTCGCGACGGATTTGATATCAGAACTTGTTGAAGCATCCGAGGAGATTGAGGAGGCGCCGCAAACAAAGTAAAGACCTAGACGGCTATAACGCTTACAGGCAGGGGACCGATGCAGGCTAGTGAAAACTAGCCGTAAGGCAGGACGCACCGACGCTGAAGTCTCACCAGTAGTCCACACATCAGCTGCATTTCTGAAGTGTCTGGTCAGCAAATTCAACAGGTCGGATTTGCTAAACGTCTTCACTGGCGACGAATAAAGAGGATCTTGATCAGTTGACTACTGTCTGGCTTCCATCTGACAGCCACTATCTTATTCATGAAGCCCTATTTGTGCTTCTAAGCCTCCTTACCTTCATCTCTCTACAGAGCACTATCTCAAATCGAACTCCGTATCCGGCGATCCGGCATTACAGAAGTAGAATCGGAACGCTTGTATGGATGAACGCATGATTACTGCAGTTTTTCCCCTCCGGTGTTTGACGGATCATCTTCACAGTAGCCTGAGCTGTGAGCGCAGACCTGAAGAGTCCTGAAAGGTCGCAGTCAGGCGCCAAATAGTGTTCCGATCCGGTTTAAAGCGTAGAAAGGAGCCACTGATGTATTACTGTGTTTTTTGTACAAATTAACTGAACTCTCCGGAGCACCGTAATTTCCCATTGCTAATTCCACTCGATTTCAACCGCGGAACACTTACTCGCAGGATGACTAGAAAATGATAACTGTAGAAATGTTCATTTGTTGGAAATTGTCCTCGGCATGTCCCGTGTTGTTTTTAATAGAAAAATCAGGACACCTTGCTTTCTCAGCAAAATAGTTTGCCATAAAATATGGCCAAATAGATTTTGTAAGAGTGGTTCGATGATGTTGGAAAATCCAAATTGGAGTGGACGCTTTGCTTGGGAGCCACTCAAATCAGGCGGCTTTGACTGGGGGTTCTAAGGAGCCGAATTTGGGGAAAGTCACGTGAGTGGTTACTTAGCTAAGTCATGGATGTATAGTGGATGCCTCTGTCCACGTGGCCGTTCCTGTGCTCGTTTTTCTGACAGCAGAACCCTTCTCTGGCCTGCCTTTCGCAGCACAGAGTACTTTGTGGCTAGAAGATTGTGTATTGGAGTTTTTTCTCTTACTGCAAGACACCGAATCAAATGCGGCCCAGCAGAGTATTCACTTATTTCCAGGCGGAATATTCCATTTTTTGTGTGGAAAATCGAGTTCGTCAGCAGAATACTGCAGCAACCTGAAGTCTCTACTGCTGTCCTAGGCTTCCACATCACCTACCTCATATTTTATCTTGTCTGCTGATCAGTTTTACTTCAAACTGAACATTTTCCTTTTAGTTTCATGCTAACTTCACTGGTTCAAATAGGATGCCCTTCAAACCCATCGTGCCACCCCCAGAGTTTCTGACGAAGGCAGAGGTTACCCGACCCACCGGTCGCTCGCCTAACAAAATTTCCACCGTACTGACCAACGTTCAGAGACGAAATGTTCAAACGTCCGCACCCGCGGAATCCAGGGACTTGACCATGTTTCAGATGGCTGCACAGGGTGAGCTTCTGCTTCTTCAAAGAGAAATTGAGAATCGGGCTTATTCTCTAGATTTACAAGATAACCAGGTAAGTCCTTGTTGATCGTCAGTATGTATCTCCTTGTCAGTTAACTTCTCGAATATCCGAATGCGCCCCTCTATGCTCTCACCGTTTTGCAGAGAGTGGTAGATCTGTTAGAAGGCTCATAATACTTAGGCCATACACTGGACATCTTTCTGGTGCACAATTCCCTACATAATAATACATTATATATATATATATATAATATATATATATATATAATATGATCGTTCGATTATGCTGCTGTTTTGGGTTTCCTGCTTCCACCAGTTCATCTAGTGACACCCATACCTCATCTGATGTACAATTATGTTTGGCATGCCGAAGGCGTGTGCTCGATAAAACCCTTCATAGCCTCGAATTTCGTTTGGGATCAGGTCCCATACGGGGATGTGATCGACTTGTTTTCGTACCTGCACACGATAACATAACGGAGCCATATATATCATTCGATTTTTATTCACTACTCGTTGCTAAAGCCACGTAGTCTCGTATGAATCACGGTTTCTGAATGAGTTTAGCATAACGATGTAAATAATACACTGAACCTTTCTTTCCGTTGCTGGTCAGCACCTCATAAAAATCCCCAAGCTTTTTTTGTTAATCACTCTTCATTCGTAGTTAATCACCCTTCATTCGTAACGCGTGGTTCTACGGATATATGTTACTCTATTGTTTCAAGTGGCACAAGAATAAAATACTTTGGAAAAAATCTGACACTTTTATAGAGTCACGCGATGCGTCCTAATATTTCTTACCACGGACTTCATGCTGACGGTCACAGGTGTTACATGTGAGGGTACCCTTATCGTTACGTTCGAAGAGTCGAAAGGATGGAAGGCTGATAAAAGGTTATAGCATACGAACTAAATGGTCGAAAGTTCATTGACCTTCAAACTCTTGAAATGGGTGTCTGGTATTCGGCTGACAAATGTCATTGAGATTCCGTATCATTCTTTCCCTAAAGGTGATAATTTTCATACCTAGTTTTGTGCTATTCGTTGAACACGTCCATCCAGGACTACAGTCAGGCGAAGACACTCACCACTATACTACCGAGGACTATACTACAAGGGGCGAGGTGGCCCAATTGGTTAGAGCGCGAATTTACTGACCGGAAGGTCCGTGGTTCGAACCTGACCTCTGCCTCTCGACTTCCCCTGTCTAAGCTTGGGCAACCTGGCAGTATCCCAGCCCTTGTGCTTCCTTCGGGTGGCACGGTAGTTAGGCACCGGAAGGGTGCTACAGCTGGACGCTTATTAGTTATGAGAGATAATTCCTGTACAGGGAATCAGTTCGGTCTGTTCAGTATCAGTTATCCTAGTGGCTCTGGCTGATATACTTCACCACTTAGATTTGGTGTTCCAAAAGACTTGTAATCCTTCTTCCAAAGTGGTGGACCTCATTTCCAATGGCCATCCCATAGACAGTTTCAGCACGACTGAATCCGAGATCTTGGATGTGATGGAGTCAGTTGGTTGCCGAACGTGTTTCGTGAACTATCTACACCATAACGTACTGCGCCCTTGTCTGTGCCATTTGTCGAAACTTTTTGTGAAAGTTGCTTCCAGGTGTTAGCCGTTTTGGTCTCAAAAACAAAGTGCAAGCACCAACCAACATTAATTTTGTACACTTAAGTCACTCGCAAACCTGTTATGCTACATGAGGCAGATTGTGTTGTAATATGCCAAAAGGAAGAGTAGAACAGGTTAAACAACCCGAATTAGTTCTCCGTGACACGGCCCCACCTCCACTTTCAATAGGATCGAATGTTAGGAGAGGGACCAATCTGTTTTCGTCCTGTCGGCATCTGCATGAATGACAGCTCATACGCCTGAGTATTTACACGCGTGAGCAGTAACGGGCGAACAACCAAGATTTCAGGCGGCTAACTATACGATTTCCGCCTATCCCGATTTCTGGAATACAATCCATATCGCAAGACGAACCTCTTCGGGAATTTACATACATAACAACGATCCGTTTAACAGTCTAGTTTATCCGTATCTCTGCTGCTGTTTACTCGTCTGGAGACATACAGTGGCTACCTTTCGGTGCATGGCTGTCGTTAGTCCCTAGTCTAAAGATCTGCATACCAATCTTGTCATTAATTATTTCTGCATGAGAGATCGTTCAGCGTTCGGTGCCTAACTGCTATGCAACTCCAAGAAAGCACGAGGGCTTGGATACTGCCAGCCTAGACAGGGTATTTCCGCGTAACACTGGTGGTATTTCCCATCTGCCTTATACATTAGGAAAGCGTGGTGCTTTCGTCCGTACGTTTTTGTGTAACACACGGCAGTGAAGCATCGGTGTTGAACACTGATGTCATGCTGTCGATGATGATGATTTAGTGTAATATGGGGGAACAAACCAAATTTGCTGACTTATCATACATCTTCGCCCTGAGTCACTCAGTTTATATTTTTACGGTTGCTGATCGCCTCGCCAAATCCTAACCAGTAAGCAACTTGAAAAACCACGAATAACAGGATCCCCAATAACTTGAACTGAGCTGTGAATAGTAAAACAACTGAATGCTACTAAACCGATTTGCAGACCTAAATATCCCATACGTGGACAAGGTATTATGCGAACCAATGTTCAGTTCATTACAAAGAACCCATATGTATTCGAACTTAGTTGCGGGTGTGATGCTCCGGAATCTATCGAAGCACTTCCACCAGATTTCCACAGCAATTAATTGAGTATAAAAAAGGCTGGACGGCGTGGTTAAGACTCCGTTAGTTTTGGTTCGTCAACCAGCCCGATGAACACACCAACGACTCGGGTATTTTTCTACGATAGCCAATGAGCACAATGTAGAAGCCATCATTTCGGATTGGCAGGAAGTCCTAACGTTGAACAGGGACAGTGTAACGTTTGAACGCGCGCGTGGAAGCACTTGGTAGGACAGAAGTACCGAAGATTTATTTAGCAACTTCATACATCCCACTGCAAACCTAATTGGGATCAAAGTGAAACGTTTGCATTGTATTTCAACCAAATCGAGGCCTGCCATTCAAATATAACGCGTTGACCTCTTCGCTCATTTTGGTGAAAAAGACATTATACTTTTCCTGGTTCACTTGAAATGTCCGATGCATTTCTAATACCATGCCTAAAGCACATCGTTTTGTGGAAACCAAAACACAACACTTAAGGAACAGTATTATGTAGTAAAATCGTGTAGGTTGTCGGTGCTCCTAGATGTTACGAATGTGACACTAAGAGGTAAGGAGGTTAGGCACAAGATGGGAAAGGTGCTATGGTAGTTTTTGAGGTGAATTCTGCGCCCTCCTCTCTTCTCGGGAGGTTATATGTTCATCTCACAAAGTGGCATAGAGGCACATTTTCTTTCCATAGACTAAGCTGTTTAAGGAATCGAAAACGTCCATGGTTCGCTTGTGGCTTTGCCGGCAAACGCTAGCGATATCCAGAACGTATACAGAACAAGTCGAAGAATTCAATATGCTAACGGTTTCCCGCACAAGGATCAGAGAATGTTTTTGGTTTTGCTACTCCAATAAGCTTCGCCGTAGTTCTCGAACTCGACAAAGTTTGGTCAAAACGTTGTCAGGGAATGGTGCAGTCATTCTGGATTTTGGCAGTCGGTGATTGCGATAATCCCCCGCTGGAGAATATCGAACTTTGTGAATCTGGCCAATCCAAGCGTTTGAGTAGCCCGCGCTTCATTCAGGCAGCAGTTACAGCAACACGGCGCATTAAGGGACAACAGAAACAAAAACCTATTAACCTCGATTTTAGTGCTGCATTGTTCCGCAGTTTCTGCTCGACTTTTGGCAGGTCACCTGTAATTTCTCGGGCTAGTGTATTAAAAACTGTCCAGAAGTTATGAACGGCTTTTCACTCCCTCCACGTTGTGCGCCGGCCCGTAGACGAATGGACCCATATGTGAGTTTTCATCTTCTGAACTTTCCTCATGGACGATGAGATTCAGGTGTCACTCGTGTGATTCTCATCGTTCCTTTGCTATTTCTTTCTTTCCCTAGGGTTTTTCGCCTCTGTTGTGGGCTTGTGCCAACGGACAGAAGGGTGCGGTCGAGCTATTGCTTTATCATGGTGCCAATATGCTACTCGCCGGCGATAATGGTGAAAATGGCCTTTTGCTTGCCGCTTGCAGGGGCCATTATGATGTGGTCCTCTACCTGCTGCGAGCTGGTTTCCCAATTAACCTGTCGGACGAACTGTGTAATACTGCGCTCATGTTCGCTGCGTACCACAACAATGCAGCCATCGTATCTTTATTGTTGGACTGGGGTGCTGATGTGACCGTAACCAATGCGGACGGCTGGTCTGCGTTGGACTTCGCTGTCAGACGGCGGTCGCGTGCTAGTCAACGTCTGATTGAGAAACACATAGTATCGCTTATTCAGGGGCAATGACACGTTTCCTACCGCATTTACCGTTGCATTTCCACCACACTTTTTCTATCCGATTTGATACGTCTTTTCGTCTTATTTTTTCAACGATACAATACAGATGCGTAATATTCACGGGTTTCCCTTTCTCGCGCATAAACGGCTGAACAACGGAATCAAATCAGCTGAGTTCCGTCGTGCTGTGTGAATAGATACTGGGAGACGAATAACTTCATCATCGCCAGTGAACTATTCAACGAAATCCAAAAGACAAAGCACCTGTGTATTGGTCGATTGAGTTCATTTTGTCTTAACTTCGGAACTAGTTCGCAATTTTGTTAGATCCTGAATTTTAGACAAATTAGTGTGATTGGTCATGGCTGTGTAGGTCACAGCTGAGCGTGGTCTCTGTGATGAACGCTCAACTGGTGCCGTTAAAATACAAGGTACTAATTAAGGATTCGTATCTTGTCCTAAAGGATCTAAATCGTTCATCTGTAACATTTTTCCGGTGCCTAGCTGCTATGCTACCCTGAAGGAAGCATCAGGGCTGAGATACTGTCAGGTTGCCGAAGCCTAGGATAGGTCGAGATGCAAAGGTAGGGTTTCAACCACGGACATTCCGGTGAGCGAATTCGCGCTCTAACCACTGAGCAATCTCGTATCTTGTCTAGCTTAACAAGATTGAACACAGTGCTAACGTCTGAACTATTACAATGATCACAGTGAGTTCCACTCGTATTACTTGCTGTGATGGGATTAAGTGCACTCTGTAAGCGATCTGATACCATCAATACACAATGCTTGCTGAGCTTGCACTGCAGTCTAGCCTTATTTTGGCAAACAATAGGTGGGCCTACGACTCTATAGTTTTTTTTCCGACTTAAAATATCCCACACTTTTCAGTTTATTATTGTGGTCCAATTCAATAGCAGATCTCGATTATTAATGCGGACATACGCAGCTAACCACTTTAAGCGTCATGCACGGCCCGGTGATACTAGGGTTGATTTTAGGTTGTTACACCCACAAGACTGACAGAAATGTACACCATACCCTGGTTTCCGCACCAGATTATGGTGCTTTGGCAAAATATGTGAGAATTTTGTTCATTTCGAACATTTTGTTCGTTTGAACGGTCGTCCTCCTGTTCTGGCGCGATTATCCCGGTGAGTCAACATCAAAGAGAAGCACTGGACTCGAGTTTCGTTCTTATCAGAGCTCATCAGCAGTGCATATCCAATGGTCGTGCTGGGATTTGAACCCCGGACATCTGACGTAAGGCGAGCGTGTAACCACTACTCCACCAATGCACGTTGGACGCATCTGAATTTTCACGCCTGAACAGGCGAACGTATTCACACTTGAGCGATGTGATTGGTGTGCCCGACTCATCGAACGACGACCCAGTATCTGTCCTGGTGTGACGATCGATGATGTGAGAATTCCGTTACACGCTTGCAAGCGGATTATCGATTAGCCATGAGACATTCTGCAGTGTTCCGCGCTCAACATATCTGGAAGGATGCGGTACACGGGATTCCGGCACATTTGAGCGATGACGGTAGGTTGTGAATTCACGGAAAGGACCAACTTCTATACTCAAGGCTGCACTGATTTAGTCTCTCACAGTTAATGTAGCTATCGAAATACGTGAACTCAGGTTCTTCGGGTTAACAACTGATGAGGTTACAAGGAAACTGAAAATGCCAGAGCAAGAGGTTGATTTCGGGCCGAAGGAGGCAGCCGATCTTCATCCCCCGCTAAGGTCTGATTGAACATCGTATAGACTGCCATCGTATAGACTGACTAGTCGTCTCCAGCAAATCCTTACGAAACATTCAGCCGGATTTTTTCAGTGGTTACTCCATCATCGAAAAGAGAAACCTGGCAAGGAATTTTCACATGGTTTTACCTGACCCGACGCATGAAAATAGAGGGCATAGAAAAGGTTCGTAAATTTCTGTGGCGTCCTTAGTGAGATTTCCAAGTTACTAGAAAGGTATTTTTGAGAAGGAACACTGTAGTGTGGATCGTCGGCAATCGGAGCACTGCTAAATTACGTAACATAAAAAACATAGAACCTTCTGCGCGAACAAAATTCTTCCTAATTCTGGTGAACTTCCATGCCCCCGCAGTGATGGCGTAACAGAAAATCTATGAAACACCTGATGATGGAAGAAACTTATAACTCGAAGTCCCAGATGCCTCAGTTTAATAACTTAGGTACGGTGCTGCAATAAGCTCATCGATGAATTCCCACACAAAAGTGAGTCAACCGTACGTTTGAATGCTCTCGATTATCTAAAGGAAGAATTGGGTTCAAAAGTCGACGGTACTACTTACATGCTGGTAGGCATGACTACACAGCGTATCTCACGTGATCACGCTCGCGGCATCGACGCATGGGCAGTCCTGTCTCTGAGGAACACAAGCTGTCCTAGATGACTGGAATGTCCCCTTCACGGCGGTCTACTTGGAACATTGCACACAGGGACACCACCCTAAAATGTGAATGGGAGCTTCTCTGATTCTGTAGGCCGAAGACGTCTCGAAGCAGTACAAAGTAAGCTTAATTCAGAAATTGAGGCAAACATCACCAGACCCAAGTCAAAGCAACCGAATAGAAGACAAGGACACAGACACATTAGATATTATGATGTTCCTACTGGATGTTGAGTCGAGCCGAGCAGTCCAGACGACGGTCCTCGATGGAAAATCAGTATCCTGTATTACTTACTTTCGACGGTTTCTTGCCCCCTGCGTCGAATTTTAAGTTCGAGAGTTTCATGAATTTAGGGCCAAATGAAGTCATTGAAATTAATACGTCTACAAGGTGACACCGCTTGTAACCAAGCCGTTAGAACTGTGCTCTAACAGGTCTTTAGGATGAGTTGTTTGTTGAGCCTGTGGGGCTGTTTCACCTAAAGTAAGCGGGATCCGATATTTATTGCATTTGTAATCAGACGAACCCGTCATCGGGTTCCAGCGGCGCGTACAACGGTGGATGGTTTTCTCCTCTAGTTCCAAGATTGCCTTTTACGTGTTATTTCTACACTTATTCAACCACTAATCCATTAAGCGTTTCGATACCTGAACGAAAGAGAATTTCTCGGGTGTGCCCAGAGTTCAGCGGTGTATGATGTTGCACAAAACTGCAGTAGATAAGTGAACTACAGATTGAGCGCTGAACTGTGGTATGGTGAATCTGCGTGAACAGTTGCTATGGGGGACGCCAGGTTTCACAAAGGTGTCTACTGAACTTGAATGCACGATTACAGCACGAAGAGGCAAAAATTGCTAGCCCTCGTCAGTAAGTACCCAATGAAATGAGTTACTGTGTGTACGATGATACCGAAACTTTTTGTGTCAGACAGCAGGCTACGGAGTAACTGACTAAATATGAAAGAGCCCCATTCAAGTGACACGAGCACAATAAATAAAAGCGGGGGCAGGCGTCGGTGATGACGATACGCCCATTTCAGCACCAAGTGCTGGGAAAACCAGCTACAAAGACGATTATTCGCTAGTATCCGATTCGTCAAAGATGCTCCGGCTCGAGAAGTGAGGGCTATGATTATATCAGAACTACTGGCAGCTGCTACACAGGCGGTTCATGTTCGTGGCAGGTGGAGTGTACACGAAGAACGGATGAGGCTCAAGTACAGTGCTTGAACTGTGTTTGAGTCCCAAAAGATATTCAACATCTAGTGCAAATGCAGCAGGTTGCAAGCCACTTGTTGGCACATTTGTTTAAGAATTATAACGCCTGAAACCTCAGAGGATTTCACGACGGTGCAACACAAGAAGGCTCGCACGAAATGGTATTCATGCGGAAAATTACCTGGGTGCCTGACGGAAGTGTCGAGAACTGGGATTTACAGAAGCTGTCTTCGGTGCACCCATCATCCGACTTATACCATGTAGTAGAAGCAATCATGTGATACATAAACACAGAGCACGCTCAATCAACCGACTTCAAATGGCTTTTCGCTGGTTAGGTCGTCTCCGAATGATCACACCGCACTTATTGAGTCCAAATCATGCGGCAATTCTCTCGATGGTCGGAGTGGTAAACATTTTTATAAAAGCCAGTAGATGGTAATTGATCAGGTGGCTATTGATCTGTTCGCCGAGCTTGGCAATTGATTTGCAAGCGTTTCGTCACCATTCGAGGAGACATCTTCAGTACGCTAACAATATTCCAACACTACCAAAAGCCGGTAGACTTGTTATGTGTTCTGTAATGAATACAGTTTCTTAGAAGCCGATCACGGTGTCAGATCGTTACTAACACCAGGTCGGAGAGTGACGTATTAATAATGAAAGCCATGTAGTCTGATATTCGGTCCCCCGGAGACCCACGCACGGTCGCCGATCTTCATCATTTCGTACATTCCCAGCTTCCTACCTATTGCGACTAGTCGAAAGTATTGACGCAACCGCCCGTTAACAAGCAGGTGCTGGCATAGCTCTAAACTCGTCCGTTTTGATTAATGACCGAGTTTTTTTTTGCCCTGATGATTTTGAAGTTTTAGACAAACCCCAGGATCGTGAGTGTGTACTAATTATCGGAAATCAGGCGCAACTTGACCGTTACCTGGGTTCAGTCACTGAATTCGCATATCAGCGCATACGTCTTGTCCCAGGGGGGAACCTGAGTGCTGAATTTGGCGGTCTAGGTCCAAATAAGGATAGGAAAGGGTTGCCTATACATCGTTAGTAACTCACGTGAAAAGGACGCCAAATGCTGATGAATACGAAAGCGGCGGTATCCTCTTCCTAAGCGTATATCCTAACTCAGTCCGGGCTCATGCCATCCCATCTCTATCACCACGGTTTATTCCAAAGTCCTAGATCCAAACTTAGCCTAAAAACTCACATGAAGACAACAATATGAATCTCAGGGAAACGATTCTAGGGGTGGCTTAGTGGTATGCGTCATACACGCATGGTCGGCCGAGTCGGACTCATTTGGTGAGACCGCTGGGGAGTCCTGATAATCCGAGAACCTTCGATCGAGTAGACCACCCGACTGCAAAACTGCCCATTTAGGTTATATCCTGAAGTAGGTTGGCAGTTTCTTGTCAAACAATTTGATATGAGCACATCTGGAAGTTACTCTC